TCAGTATTTATTGTTAAGATCCCCGGTAGAATCGAGTGGTAACTTTTACATTAATATAAACATCTAGTGCAATAAACTTTTGCCCATAGATGCTCGTCTCGAACAATGGTTTTAATTTGTTCCTTGCTTATCGTGAACAAGAAAGGCCATCAATTGGCTGCTTGCGCTCATTTCCCGACACAAAAAAGTAGAGTAATATCTGTTCACCAGATAATGACAAACAACTCAGCCAACAAACAAGCATATAAGATATTCCCTCCGTACATATTCCTAAAACGTTTTCTTATTCCTCACATTAAATGTTTAATTAGGGGTAGTTTTATTATAATAGGCATTTTTGTATAGAATTTTCTTAATGGGCGTACTAAAAGCAAATTGGTCACTTATTGTGAACAGGAGGGATTATAACTCGACTTCCACCAACCCTACCCGATTCCCAGAAAAGAAAGAAAAAAGAATTGACAAACAAGTAGTCTGACTATAAGTTCAATACAATCACGTTAGGCCAAGGCACAAGCTATACAGTAGTTCGAACCCCACAATTAATCATATAACGGTAATATACAAGGATCTTGCACGAAAATGGGCAGAGTTATCGGTATGGGATTTTAGGAGCAAGAGTTTGTCAGCCAGTAGAAGTGATGTTACAAAAATATACATTATGTTTGAATTGAAGGGGTGTATATGTTCTTATTTAAAATAAAATGTGGCTTTACTTTTTTATGTTCTTTTTGGTAATAATTTTATATAATAGAATTTGAGTTAAAAGAATAGATTGACGTGAATTAGATTTATCTCGGTTTAACAATAGTTTGGTTCATAAAAGAAATATTTCGGAAAAAAACTTAATCCAAAATGGATTGAACGGATTGAATACAACCTTAGTTGATCTTTGGCGCTTGTGATAAGGTTTTTAGTAAATAGAGTGATACTTCATGATGTTTAAATCTTAAATTTGCCTTACTTTGTCATGCTATGGTCAAAGATGGATCCAAGAATTTAAGTTTATTGTTCCTATAGCAACCTCAAATTAATATTCAATAATAATTAAGTTTATAATTAAATATTTATAGATAATATCTTTATATTCATGCATGAATATTTTTAATTGGCTGCTATAGACATGTAGTTTGTGCCAAAAGCTAGCTAGCCAATGAGATATCGTATTTCTTCGTTTTCATTTTCTTTATTGGTGAGATTTAAATATCACTACTTGCAAGTTGCAAAGGCATATATTAGCTGGATCATGGTTGTCTTGAAATTACGGCTAAATGATGTGATCTTTTATTTCGGTAGCGTTGTATAATAAATATGAAAATGATGGATCTTTCCTTTTATAGTTGGGTTTTTGGTGGAAATCCTTCTTTTTAGTAATTAAATGTTCTTTACCTTCATTGTCTTTTGCTTTTCTAGCCTTTTTGGTCCTCTAGTCATGATGATAAAACAAGTAGTGCTGGTATATTATTTAGTCCTTATGTAATAATTATTACTAATATCCTTATGATATTTTAAATAATAAGTGATCATACTTCGAAGAACCTGTCAAAATTTTAAATATTTCTTTTCCGTAATATTGTCCATTACTAGGAACCAAGTTATATATTTAAATTGAGATTACAACAACAACAACAACAACAAAAATTAAGTGTAATCCTACAAGTGGGGTTTGAGAAGTATAGTGTGTACGCAACCTTATCCCTACCTTGTAAAGGTAAAGAGGTTCCGATAGACTCTCGGCTCAAGAAACACTAAACAAGAAGCAACCAATAATAACAATAACAAGACCTAGAAATAAGAAATAAAAGAATACTGCTAGCAAATTGAATGGAGTATTTTAGCTTGAGAAATGTTCATATTGTTTCTAGCGAAATACCTAGTTACTTATAATATGTGATTATTGCTTTTGTTGCTAACTGCATGCGTGAAATAAGATTTTTATGATGAATTATCTACTGTGGCAAAGCCAAAAATTTTACTAAGGAATGTCAAATATAAAAGAATAAATGCACAAAATAATAAAGGGGATTTAACATGTAGTATATATATACATTAAAATAAAATTTTAACATAGATAAACAATATAATTTGTCAATTGACATCCCTTCGTATAAGGTGGCTCTGTCATTATCCCATTCTGTTACTAAAAATACTGTAATGACAGTAGTAGTGGTAGTAGACTAGTAGCAGTAGTAAGTATTTCCTATTCACAGTAACATAAAGCTAAAAAATTCTATTCATATTTAGGAGTTTATTTTAAACATATTTGAAGGTTTATATTGAGTTGGACTACATTTTGTGTATAATTACTAACATTTCAAGCTCCATTTAAAATATCAGATACAGATTCGTACAGAATTACTGACATGAAGTAAGAAAATAGAGTATAGTAGTAGTAGTTAAGTGTCCTTTTGCCTTTTTAATACGGACAACTTAATAAGAGTTGACCTATTATTTCACTTTCTTGTAGTGCAACTCGACACGATTATATTCTAGAATACATTAATTTCTGCTTTCGTAGTAGTGGAATGATCCCCATCTGCAATCTTGTGTAGCTCACTTGTCACTCAAACATTCAGAAGAACATGCTTTAAGGAACCAGATCGAAGATGTTATCTATAACTTTTTCTTGTTCCTACCTTTGATCAGAAGCAAGGTACTGTACCCTTTTTCGTTGATTTCTGTATAAATCAGATGTCCAAGGTTTTTGTGTCACCAGTACTAGTAGCTAGTCGCAAAACAGTAATGTAAATTTAGATTTAACTTATATACGCGCGGGTATAGTCTATGGAACTTCTAACTATTAGTGTAATATAATTTGTACTCGGGTTACTAATTTCACTTATTAAAACACTATCGGTGTAATTCGGTTCATCCATTATTTTTTTTTTCTTGCTGAGATATTAGAAATTATTAGACAATGTTATATTATAGTAAGTAGGGGTGTTCGTCGCTCGGTACGGTACGATATTTAGATATTTCGGTTCAGTATTTTCGGTATTCGATTTCTTAAAATCTTATACCAATACCGTACCTAATTAAATTCGGTATGGTTCGGTTTTTCTCCTTTCGGTTTCGGTTTATTCGGTTCGGTAACTTCGTTTTATTCGGTTTGAATACTAACTAGTGGATAGAGCCATACACTCTAATATTCTTAATTAAAGTACTCAAAAATACAAAATTGAAAATGTTTATTGACAAAAAATTTGTCCACAACTAGCAAATATCGATCCAGATAGAGAAAATTATACATAAAAGAATATTTGATCATTAGAAGTGTCTTGTTACATGTTTAGAGTTAATTGATGAACTTTGAGAATAAAGGAAAGTAAAATTTTAGATTTTTTATATTTATGTTATAATTGATAATATATGTTTTGTGTAATATAATAAATATTTCGGTACGGTATCGGTATTTCGGTATTTTATCTTAAAATACCAAATACCATACCTAATACCAATTTTTTTAAAAACTTAAACCAAATACCATACCAAATACCAAAATACCATATACCAAACACCAAAATTTTCCGTTTCGATACGGTAATTCGGTATTTACCAAATTATGCCCCGCCCTAATTGTAAGTCATGTTAACAATTTAACCTGATAGTGTAAACAAATTACATATATAAATTAGATTCAAAAGTTAAAGATTTACTCTTCACAAAAGATTGGCAAAGTGGAGAGGTTAGAGTAAGATCCACCAATAATTAAAAAGCAAATTAAAATAAGCGCACTCCGACACCATCAGTCATCTTCTCAATTAAGTGAGACAGTGAGGTTAGAAAAGACGTAGACCTCCCAACTAATCCTAATTATCTTTTAATTTCCACCTCATCTACGTATACATACTACCAACTATTATTGCTAATAAAGTTTAAAAATATGTAAACATGATCATCGATAAAGTCAAAGATCTCAATTCTGGACCCCATTAGAAGGAAAACCATTCTTTTCAGGATCCTTAAAGCAACCATAGACTACTTATGTTCATGCATGAGAATATCATATTAACAAGACAAAAGTAAGGGAAATAATAATGGGATGTTTATCCAAATAGTCGGTCATATTAATTGTTTACTTTTTTTAGCCATATACATATATTATACATTGCTTATACACAATTATATACATGTAATACATAAATTATACAACAACAACATATCCGGTCTTATCCCACACCTTGGGGTCTGGGGAGGGTAGTGTGTACGCAGACCTTACCCCTACCTTGTGAGGATAGAGAGGTTGTTTCAATAGATCCCCGGCTCAAAAAAATACATAAATTATACATATATTATATATTCACCGGCTATTTTTAGTTTAAGTATTGGGGTAGGTGCCTATTTGGGTTAATTCTTCAATAATTAAAAGAAAACAAGCTTCTTTTCTCCTGGAATTTATTTCTTTGGCATTAACTTTTTTTGCTCGACTTTCTAAGTAAAAATCTCTCAACTTTAATGTATATGAATATGTTTGACTGAACCAGGAGTGTAAGAAAAAAGATTGTTTTTTTAAATTTATAATTTTAAACATGACATGATATTTATATGGCTATAAAATCATATGATTAAGAAATCAATGCAATTTAATATTTAAATTATTTTGAAAATGTAAAAAAATTATTTGAAACAAATTAAATAAAAAATAGTGTCATATAAACAAAAACAAAAGGAGGACTATACTATATATTCTTAGCGTTCAACTTGCAAAATTGTGCGCATTATAGATGTTTGGTATAATAAAGTTTATACTCATACATTAAATTTTGAAAAGAAAAATTTGAAAAACTGTCGGTTCACCTAAAAAAAATCAAACAAATTTGCATCTTTTTCTAGAGGTCATGGAGATTTTTATTTTTAATAATTTCATAAAAGAAAGAGTGAAGACAATGAGATAATGGGTGGAATAAAAATGAAATAATTGAGAGAAAATGTGGGGCCAGCAATGTTAGATGGGGCCCACTCCAATATTGTCAAGAAGAAATATGCTTATAGTCACAAGCTCAAAAATCTCTTTCCATGTGCAAGTCTTGCCATTGCTTCATCATTTCTTGCTGGCTCTCTTCCCATGTGTTGAGAATACAGTTCATCTTCAACTAAAAGATTTCTCAATGTCACGTTCTTGAACATGTCTTTGTTCTTTACACCCACTCCTTTTGCTATTTGAGTTTCATTTCTTTTTGTCCCACTCATTTTCCCTTTCTCAAACTAAGCCAAATTGAACATGGATTCCAGAACCCTTCTTGATTATGCACTGTTGAAGCTCACCCCAACTAGAACAAGGTCGGTTTCTTTCATTCTTTTTTTCATTAGAGTACGTAGTAATGAGTTTTTGTTTTTAATTTTTGAGGTTAAATTGCTATGGAAACTGATAAAGTTGTGGTTTTTTCCTTTTTTGTGGTTGAAAAGATGTGATCTTGTGGTGTTTTCTGGGGGTAAAAGTGAGAAATTGGCTTCTGGGTTAGTGGAACCCTTCATTTCTCACTTGCAATTTGCTAAAGATCAGATTCCAAAAGGTGGCTATTCAATCACTATGCGCCCACCTTCAACTCATGCCTACTGGTTCACCAAATCCACATTCCAAAGGTATAATCTTTATTTGATCTTTTGCCAAGTTTAAAGCTTTTATATTTCATTCAGTTGTATGTGGTTCATTGTTCATCAATATTGGTAAATGTTACTTGAATAAGTTAGTTGATAGGAAGGTGTGAAAGTCGCGAATTAGGGTAGAAGGTTAGTAGGTAGTCGGGAGTGTTTCTTCTCCATACCAGTAGTATTAGTAGTTAGTCTTGTATCCTATTATTTTTAGATCTCTATTACTACATGCTGTGCCTTTCGTTTTGTTTTCTCATTATCTTATTGTTGTTACTGTTTGTTGCTACTACTTTCTTTTCATCTTTCCTTGAGGGGGAGGGGGGCTATTGGAAACAGGCTCTCTACCCTCAAGGTAGGGTTAAGGTCTATGTACACACTACCTTCCCCATACCCCACTTGTCGGATTATACCGGGTTTGTTGTTGTTACTTGAATCATTTGGAACTTCTGGAATTGCTGAAATCTTCTTGCAGATGATCTTGATTGTATATGGTGATGGTGTTGTTTCTAATTAATGCAAAGCTCCAGCTGTAAAGGAGAAAGATATGTAAACTAACAACATACTTTAGGTCCCCTTATTTGCAAATTGGTCATAATGAATCACCAAATTACGATTATGGGTTCAAAAAGTGGATATCTTTATTGACTTTTTGCTAATAACGTGGTGATTTATCTTGATAAAATAGCTTAATAGAGTTAGAGTATAATTTTCTTATAATCTACTTGATTTTGAAAAGGAGGGTGGTGAAGGTGGGACCTGATCTGTGCCCACTCTTGTCTTTAGAGCATTTGTTCTCAATGCTGCTGCTTACTTCTGTCTCACAGTATTCTTTTGCATACTGGAATCTACATTTTAATTACACACTGTTAGATAACTGAAAATTAAAGAACTTTTGGTTGGATCTAGCAAAATCTGGAGCTGATGCTAGAAGACTAAATTTATTTACTTGGGCTTCCTTGCGTTCGCTTGCAGATTTGTACGCTTTGTAAGTACACCTGAAATTCTTGAGAGGTTTATGCGTTTGGAACGAGAGATTTCACAAATCGAGAGTTCCATTCAATCCAACGAATGCTCCAATGGCAATTCAGAGGAAGGTATGTTCAAGACATGCTGATAAGTTCTCCTACCATGTACATCAAATCAGATTAGAGTTCCATTATTTTGATTCTTTTATTGTCCATTAGTTGTCATTTCTATAGTTTTCTAATTAATACCAGTTTTTTTTCTTTTTATGATAAATAGCATTTGTACCTTTCTCAGTAAAGTCCATATGATATTCAGATTGGGGCTAATGTACATTTGTTGCTTGACTTACAGGAAGCTCACCAGCTAATGGTGACACCACCAGGAAATCAAATGATTCTTTCAAGGTATTTTAATTGAGTAGATTTTTAGCTAGTGATTTTCTTTTAGTCTAGTAGCTCATTAGACATTTTCACTTTAATGGGTTATTCTAGGCAAAAAGTGAAACCGAAGAAGCTGATAATGCTGCACCAAAAGAAAACTCCAAGTAAGTTATCTGTCCTTCGAAGCAACAGTGAATGACAAATCCATCTCTGCTGAGAGTCTTATGAGTTAACCTTTCCTTTTTTTATCCTTGTCAGGATTCGACTTCAGCGTCTCATGGATACCCGAAAAGCATTACTTCGGAAAGAACAGGCCATGGCTTATGCACGTGCAACAGTTGCTGGCTTTGAGATAGACCAACTGGATGATCTCCTACAGTTTGCTAATTCTTTTGGTGCCTTACGGCTTAGGTATGATAGAATATAGTGTCTTCATAACCTAAGTTGTATACAATAAGTGTGTAGATAAAAATCAACTGGTAGAAATTGGATCACCAGAGTTTTGTTTGACTATTTTAGTTGGAAGAAATATTTATGGCGTGTTCCTATCATCACCGTGAACTGTAGTCCAGTTCTGGTGCATAACAGAAACAGAGTCCAAGGAAATCCACTGTCTAACAACCAAAGAAATCTCCTTTTAGGAGGTTGCAGATTGAGCATTCGACTTTGTTATGTCTATCCTTCTTTTATATCTCTGTGTGTCTTACTCTTTCAATTCGCTAAAAGTTGAAATTTTAAATGGTTTCCATATACATTTATTTTCAAAGGAAGCATAACCTAGACATGGAACTAGTAAACTCCTAGATGTAGCTCTTGAGGATGATATAACAAGAAGCTTCTACGTCTTTCATCGTACGCATAAAAATATATGGGAAGATGTCAAGATTGAGTCAACAGTTAACAGTTCCAGGATTCTTGTAATTTAATTTGTGTAATCTTATCTTTCTTGTAGGGAAGCATGTGTTGACTTCAAGGAACTTTACAAACAAAAGCACACAGATGGCCAATGGATGGATGAGGTAGCTGCAATGAAAGCATGCTCCCCAGCAGAGCTGTCCTACTTGGGAAATCAAGGTGTTATTCTTGCATATGACAATAGTGGCTCTTTGGATAGTTCTGACTCGAAGGAATCAACAAATTCAAATGGTGTCAGAGGTATCGTGTCTATCCTTTCCTAGCGTCGATTTTCTTTTACTAGATTTAAGTTTAGCTGGTTGTCAATGTTATTGGCATAGTCCACTTTCTCAGGTACTTCATTTCTCATGTTTATACTTTTTGTCAGTCAAAATATAAACGGGAAACATTTGCTGAACAATTGTAATTTTTACTGCTCAAGAAAGGACTTGTTGTAATAACTATATAGGATATGGTACTACATACCGATGATCAATGATCAAGAAACATTTTGTGTACCAATATACGTGCATATAAAATGTATGTCTTCAGCATAGACTGGTTCTTTTTGGTAATATCAACTGCTATATGTGCAGATGAGAATCTTCCTGCATCAGAGCAGTCCATGTCAGCAAAAGCTCAGATGCAGATGCCATGGCAGAATCAGATTCCTCCGTATATGTACAACTTTCATGGTCCAGCTCAACAGATTCCTTATGCTGGCATGCATCCTTTACAATATTATCCAGCACATATGCAGTGGCCACAAAGTGTAAATGGCTCAACAAATGGTCCTGTTCGAGACTCTCGCCGGCGATCAAAGAAGAAGGAGAAAGAACATGACAGTTCAGAAGATGATGAACAAACTGAGTCCAGCGCCTCTGATTCTGGAACTGATTTAGATGAAGTTAGGAAGCATGAGAAAAACCATTCTTCAAGGGAGAACTCACATACTAAAAAGCACAAGAAGAAATCCTCAAAAACAGTTGTAATCCGCAATATCAATTATATCACTTCCAATAGAAAGAATGAGGAAAAGGATGGTTCCTCTTATGATTCTTCGTCAGCTGAATCTCTTTTACTCGATGAAGATTCTATCAAAGAGCAGGTAGATGATGCTGTTGCAGTACTGGAGAAACGTCGCCACTCAAGAGCACGAAGGAACAAGAATGAATCAAATGGTTATGGCAACACAGACCTAAATGAGGGTGTGTCGCCAAAGACATCTGAGAAAGCAAAAGGAAATGAGGCATGGGGTGCATTCCAGAATATTCTGATGAGTTGTGAGGAGTCAAGTATGAATGGGGTAAGCGATCCTTTGAACTTCCAGGATGAAGGCTGTGGTATCAAAAATTCTAGTGACGGGGTTTCATTCACAATTAGCAATGGTGCGGAGTTGGGATCTGGGAAGGTCAGAAGAGAGCATCTGACAACTGATGATTCTCTTCTCATGACCAAAAATCATGAACAAAGTGGCACAAAGGTTAGCATGGTAGATTTTGCCAATGGTGAGGATATGCGGCCAAGTTTGAAGAAAGGAGTTTCTGAAGATGAGCATCTTCTATTTTCGCACAAAGAACCATCAGGGGGAAGTACATTGGGAACTCCGTCTGATTTTGGTGCTGAATCCTCCACTGTTAGAAGTAGTAAGGGGGAAGATTGGTTTGTAGTCAACCACTCGGGCGGTTCAGAAACTCAAGAGGCTAAGCAAATAATATTTGACTATGACAGTAGCATGTCGATGCAGAAAAGTTCCTCTCACACCGAAACTGAAAGAGCTGCTCCAATTGATGATTCTTTCATGGTACAGTCTCAACCATCTTTTGATGATCATTATAACTCTCAGTGGAAAACAAACATTAGCATGGATGCAGACATGCTTGCTGCAGAAAATGCTGATCCAGTTGCATCAAAAGCCAAGGTTAGTACATCTGCGGCCAGTCAACCTGATGACCTCTGTGTGGTGCTTACAAGAGACCCAAGTTTGGATCCCGTTGAGGCATCTTGGCAACCACAGTTGGATTTTGGTTTTGAAGCTTCTTTCGTGGCAGTTGAGAAAAAATCTTCTGCTGTTGAGGTAAATAGTTCTACTGAAGAAAATGCTCCTGCAAAAAGTAAAGGCACAAGTAATAAGGACGGTCCTGCAAAGACCGGAAAAGATGCAAGGTCTAAAGTCTCCGGGGGATCCTTGTCAAGGAGCAGGATTGATGCTTTAGCAAAGAGCAAGAAGATGTCTCCTTCTAACAAGCTGACAACCCAAAAGAGCAAATTAGATCGGGTACGAGAACAACCAGTAATCTCATTCTTTAGTTGTTTTTGCCTCCATTATTTGTCTTTCTTATATTTCATACATGTTCATTTCCTTATATAGGAGGAAGAAATGCGCAAGAGAATGGAAGAATTAGTGATCGAGAGGCAAAAAAGAATCGCGGAAAGAACAGCAGCTAAGGGTTCGGGTTCAGCAGCTTCCAAGAAAGTGCCAGCAGGAAGTAAAACAGTTTCCTCAAAGATTTCAACTTCATCCAAAGTTCACACTTCACACATTACCAGTACAGGTCAAGCACTAAGGACATAGCCCTGTCCAGGAAAACTATGAACCGGCCTTAAACACGAACTTAAACATCCACAACTTGTGTGGATTATCCACAAATATCCTGGACAAATAAAGTCTTCCCGATGGAACTTAGAGATTCTTTCTTTACTAGGAGAGAAATAAAAGCAGTGTTGCTTGCTGCTTTAATGCAAGTTCGTTCTCATTTTCTAGACATTCATGTCCCATCATAAGGTTTTGCCAGTATAGTTTTTTGAGGCTTTGTTTTTATTTGTATACTGCTATTTGTTCATATGTTTTGTAAAGCTATATGTAAAATTATTCTTAATTCACATATGTTTTTATGTATAATATATCACATTTTAAGAACCACTAGCTCTGTTAAAGCAGACACTTACTCTATTTTTGTTAACTACTTCTGTATGTTCTTTACTTTCAAGAGTTTCCAGTGTATCAAATGGTAGGGAAAGGAGAAGAAATATTTGGGGAAGCAAGAAATTATGCCAATTTTATTTTTCTTTTTGACTGGCTTTTCATATATTTCGACAGAACCTAGTGCTCCAGGTCGAACCTTAATGTATATGTGGGTAAATTATATATCGATAGAGTTAGAGATATATTTTAGAGCATGCCTTTTTAACTCAGTCCACAACGTCTAAATTCTGAATTTGCGATTATTCCTGAGGAATGTGACAGCATGTACTGTTGGCTGGTTCATATAACCAAATAAGGTTGTGGAAGCCAATTCTTTGAGAGGATGATTTATGAAAGGGCCACTTGAAATCACAAGACTTTTCAAAGATTCCAACATCTATCTGTACATTTATTTATTACTCTAATTATCAATACTTTGAACTGTCTCTTTATTTAGATTTGGGACATGTCCGAAACCATGCCTTGAACAAAGTCACAAGTCACGACTAAGACACATACGACGAAACTTTCATCTTTTCATATTTTTCTGTTTTTATTCAAGAACGAAGAAATTTCTAAGAGTTTGGTCTCGAGTTGTTTGAACAATATTTTTAATTTATCGGGTAAAGCACAAGTTGAACTTTTCAAAATCTCGTTTCGTTGATTTACTATTTGACCAATTTTCTTTTCCATTTTCCTTCAGTGAGGTGCGACAAGCTTAGTCAAAATTAATTACTGAATTTTCTCCCAACTACATTGTACTCAAGCTTTTGTAAGGTCGTACTTTCGAAGAAATTTTTTGTACTTGAGCTATCATGCTCTGAACTCTGAAACGATAGCTGTGGAGTTATGATTATAATTTCAATTGTAATGTCGCACGTTTGAATTTCAGTAACGTTCTAACCAGTGCAGTCCAGTTGGGTCACACTATTTTATTACATTTTCATTAAAAAAATCGACTCATAACATTCATATAGTCAAGATAGATATACTTAGAATGTTCAAAAGGCAAATGCGTTTAAATTAGATAATCAAATTGAATCCTCAAACAATATGAATAAACCCTCTCAACCCTTGAAAACAAAACGAGAGCAAAACACAACCCTAAGGCATTGTTTAGGCTTTAGGATTTAAGTTATACACGCTAAAATTATAACGAGTTTTATATTACCAGAGTAGTAAACTAATTATATAAAATGTTATATCAAAATATCTTTACTCACTTTATAAGTGATCGATTATGTAAAAATCTCTATATTGTCCAAAATTGTCTAAGGAAGAAAAGTATTTGAGTGGTAGACATGTTTTGATCACTACAAGGCTCCTGATTTTCAGGAGTTTGGATTAGTTGATTCTGCAGATAAAATTTTATCTAAATATATTCATCAGAAACAACTCAAAGAAGATAAAAGAACACAATAACAAACCCAAAAAATCAGGATTCATACGCGGTTTTGCCTCAAAAAACCAAGAAATATAATTTTAGTAATTGACCTCCAATTTTCCTCTCTCACACTCTCTCTCTATTTTGGAAACAAAAGAGAGAAGAAGTGTTTGTCTATGAGAGAAGTTGGATTAACCAATTTCCCCAGTTGACTCTTAAGAGCCTTCCTATCATCTCTCATTTGCTCTGCACGTTATACAAGTTTTCTTTATCAATTTTCCTTCCTTTTTTTTTAAAAAAAAAAAAAAAATCAAACAAAACTTCTATTAATAATATTAATCTTGATTCTGAAATCTTGAATGCTCTTGTTCTTCTTCCTCCTTCTACAATATTTTAATCAAATCTATTATTATATTATTTTTATTCAGCAATTTTTTGCGTCATCAAATAGTAATTTTGGTTTTTCAATTGTCAAAACCAAGAAAGTTGACCTGGTACAATCATTATTTTATTTCTTATTGTTGTCTTTTTCTTCAATCTTGTATAAAACTTGTCATTACTCGTTTGAAATGGCAATTGGGGCATGTTTTGGTGTGCCTCCTTTCTTTTCTCGCAGGAAGCATAGTACAATATTTGAGGTATTTTTTTCTCTTTCTTTCTTTTCTTCTTTCAAACTTAAAACTTCTTGTTGTGTGAACGTGTTATGATCATGTTGAACAATGTAAATTCTCGTACTTCTACACGAGAATTTAATATCACAAAATATAAATTTGAGATTCTAAATTTTGGCAATATTACCATGCAAAACCTCAAATATGGCGATGTTCAATTTGGAATCCTTTTGTTTTCATGGAAACCCAAATACTTAGCGCGCGTTTGGACATAGATTTAATTGAAACTTGAAAAAAAAAATAAAGTAATTTTTGAAAACTGAAGTTGTGTTTGGACAAACATTTTATTTGAAGAAAATCTGAAGTTTTGTGAGTGGAATAAAAAATTTCACCCAGTTATTGGAAACTTGAAAACTTTTGAAGTTTTTTTCCAAAACATGATCGTATTTCATAAACAAAAATATTTTTTTTTTTTTGAAAAAATGAAGCCAAAATCTATGGCAAAACGGGAGCTTAATCAATTGTATCATATGATCGAACAAATTAAGCGAATTGAACAACGTATAGCCATAAGGTGACATAAAACATGTTTGATTTGAGAACTGAGTTTTATAGCCCCAAATATATAGTAATATCTGATAAATCCTTAAAACACAACTCAAGATGTTTCATCACAACTGAGTCTCTTCTTTTTCTTTTTCTATTTTCGCTAAGGACTTTCTTCTTCTTTTTTTCCTTATAATATCTGATGTTCTCTTAACATGTTATAACCATATTGAAGAATAAAAATGTTCTGTATTAATCTGTGCATGAAAATCCTATATCAGAATGCTAAATCCTACATTTTCATGCAAAACATGAAAGGTGGCCATGTTGAAATTGGAAGATGATTTCTGGCAACATTTCCTTTTTTGACTCCGTGTTCCTTCTTGTTTATGAATTGTGTCATATGATGAAACAGATTAGTTAAAATAGCACGGTTTAGCCAGTTTTTGGATTGGTCATTCAAAAATAGCCAGCGTTTACCAAGTCAATGAAAAATAACCACTATTTTGCTGCAGTAGAGACCGGTCCAGCATAATATACTGGAGTTCGGTGCACCTGTGTATGAACTCCAGCATATTATGCTGGACCGTTATACTTTGCTGGCTCCAGTATAATATACTGGAGACTGGAGCACTGGTGCTCCAAACTCCGGTATATTATGCTGGAACTCCAGTATATTATGCTGGAGTTCTAGTGTACTTATGCTGGAACTCCATCATATTATGCTGGAGTTCCAGCATACTTATCTTGGAACTCCAGTATAATATGCTGGAGTTCAAGTATACTTATGCTGGAACTCCAGCATAATATGCTGGCGTATTTTCCGGGTTTTGAACAGTGTTTTCGCTCAGATTTATCTTTACATAAAAAGTGGCTAAATATCGATTACTTTTGAAACTGGGCTATTTTTGAACGACCAGTTGTAAATCTGGCTATTTTTGAATTTCACCCAACAGATTAAGGAGAGAAACACACAACCATTATATAATTTTTGTTAAAGGAACATGAAAGCCCAAGGATAATGATATCCGAGAAAAATTTGAGAAGACACACCACCTAAAAGTTTTTCATCAATGGAAAAAAGATAAAAAAAAATGATCCTTCATCTTGATTTGGACATATTTACCATGTTTATGTCATAGAAGTCAATAATGATATAAGGGCAAAGAAACATGGAAAATTGTATTTTGGATATTAATTAGTATATCATTAACAGTAGCTAACAAACATTTGCAGGAAGAAGACATGAAAGAGACAAAGAAAAGACCTGTTCTTGAAAAAAATAAAACACCTGCTATTGCAATATCAAAAAGTTTTAAATCAAGCAAAGGTTCAACAGTGCGCAATTCATGTAGAGTAGCAGGAAACTTCATAATAATGACTGAGCTTCGGAACAAGATCCTCACCTTGAGAGACTTGCTTGACTTGTCTCCCTGTATTGGCTCTGCATCTGTAAATGAGGTATTCTTCTGTTACTTGTCTTCAAAACTCAAGCATAATAACATTCTTTGAAAGGTTTTAACTTATATACACCGATAGTATAATGAATTTTCACATCATCACTATACTTTAACTGGTTATAGCAGGTAAATGTGATGATGTAAAAACTTTACACTGTCAGGAAGTTAAACTCTGAAAGAAAAAGAGCAAAACAGAATTTGGTAACTTCTGTTGTGAATTTTTTCCACAGCTGCTGATTTTGACGCTGAAAGATCTGCAACAATTGTATCCTTCAATCAATCCATCTATTTCTTTGTCAAAAATTGATGAAGCATCGATGCATCAGGTTATTATTTACTCAACTGTAATGAGCATTACAAATTCAACGTTTGCCATAGCGCATTCACAGTTCAATGTGCTGACCTAATTCATACATTTCTCAGGCACTGCAATGCTTTTTTGATACCATCATATCAATTGGGGAAATGTGGACAGGCAATGATGAGTGGATGGTAAAATGCAAGGAGGATTCAGTCAGTAAACTAGACAATTTAGAATACTATGGTATGTCACATGTTTATTGCAACACCAAATATCTATTGGCCACTCTTTAAAAAGACCCTAATGTTTTCTCTCAATTGCAATCAATTCAGGAGTTTTATTGCTCGAAGACATGATTAAGCTAGCGAGTGAAAGGATGTTCGATATGATGGATGATGAGGAGGAGGATGATGAGGATGACGATAACCAGATAAGAGATGAACGTCCATCATTCAACACATTTGGAAGGGTCCTTTCTGAATCTTACTCGAGCGCCAAATCCTCCCTCTCGAGCACTCCAGTCACCCCAACTTCAGTTCTTCCTGGGTTAATGAGTAATGCTTCAAAGAAGACATACTCTCCACCTCTTCTTCTGCCACTCAGGGTTCAAGCAGTTGGCAAGCTGAATCCTATTGATGTAAAGCGCCTCTCTTTCCACATGTTCCCTCATGTAGCAGCTCAAGATTCAAATTTTTTTGTTCAGCTAACAAGCACAGAAGCAAAGAAAGATTCTGAAGTGAAAGCCAAAGATGATCAGGAATTTGGGCAAGATTGTGAAATGACAGACATGCCGGATATTCTACTGACTTGTATGGATGATGAATCAGAAATTAAAGGAACATATAAAACTGGTGCTAAAAATACTCCAGTGTCAGGACATGTTACCTTGGATGTGCTTTTACCTCCTTCGCTTCCTGAATCGCGCGCAGAACAAGGAGCAGAGCCACAATCACCGCTCACTCTATCGTTGAAGGTCATAGACTCAGAAAAAACATCATCTCCTCTGCAGATTTCTTTGCACTCACCAGATGGGGATATATCAACACCATTATCACCAAAGGCCCAGTCACAGCCCCCACCATTATCAACGAACCAGCCATCTACTTCTGCACCAGCAGCGCCACAACCACCACCTCCACCTCCACCACCACCCACTTCATCAGGGACAGTACCCACTTCATCAGGGAATGCAGAAGGGTCACAGCCTGCACCACTGTTAAGACAGCTAAGTGGTGCTCCACTGCCTCCTCCTCCTCCTCCTCCTCCTCCTACCATGACATCAGCTAATGTAGCGATACCACAACCGCCTATCAAAACGTTATCTGCAACCCCACCACCACCTCCCATGACAAGAAAAGAAATAACACATCCACCTCCACCACCACCACCACCTACATTAGGAAATGGAGCGGCACCTCCCCCGCCCCCACCACCTCCCATGAAATTGGGAAACGTAATATCAATTCCACCTCCACCCCCACCTCCCATAGGATCAAAGGTTATAGCACCTCCACCACCCCCACCTCCCATGGGATCAAAGGTTATTGCACCTCCACCACCCCCACCTCCCATGGGATCAAAGGTTACGGCACCTGCACCCCCACCTCCACTAATGACTTCAAATGGAAGAATGCCAGCACCACCTCCACCCATGCCAATGGGAAAAGGAGCTGCACCTCCACCACCACCAGGGTTTGCAGGTGCCAGGAGCCTAGGACCTAGGAAAGCAGCCACTAAATTGAAGAGATCATCCCAAATGGGAAATCTTTATCGGCTTCTCAAGGGTAAAGTTGAAGGATCTAGTTTAGATGGTAAAGCAAAGGGGAGAAAGGGAAAAGTTGGTGGTGCTGCACCTGCAGGAGGCAAACAGGGAATGGCTGATGCATTAGCGGAGATGACAAAGAGGTAATTAATCCTTAAACTGATTATTTTGGTAGAGGTGATACTTTCATAGATGTTAGCTTTATGTATAAAAATTATATCATATATGTCTCAGGTCAGCATACCACCAACAAATTGAAGAGGATGTTAGAGTACATGCACAAACAATCAAGGAGATGAAAACAGCCATTGCCTCTTTCCAAACATCAGATATGTCTGAGCTTATTAAGTTCCACAAAACTGTAGAATCACACCTAGAGAAACTAACGGATGAATCTCAGGTTTCATATATAACTGTTGTATACATAATCCTCGATGATTCCCACTTCAGGGTGTTGGTTTAAAGTAATTTTGCTACAGGTGCTAGCAAGGTTTGAAGATTTTCCTACAAAGAAGTTGGAAGCATTGAGGATGGCAGCAGCACTTCATACCAAGTTAGATTCAATAGCCAAAACTCTACAGAATTGGCCAATAGTCCCACCTATTGGACAACTTCTTGAAAAAGCTGAGAGTTACTTCAACAAGGTAGAAACTAAGTTCGCAGTTGATAACTTGTCGATTTTTATATTTCCATTAGTAGCTCTAACAAATGGTTCTATCATCTAGATCAAAGGAGAAATGGACACACTGGAACGAACAAAAGATGAAGAATCCAAGAAATTTATAAGCCATAAAATCCACTTTGATTTTGGCATCCTTGTGCGTATCAAAGAATTGATGGTGGATGTTTCCTCAAACTGTATGGAACTGACTTTGAAGGTTAGCACAATGTAAAGCATGTAGCAAATGTAGTAATTCTTATGAAATCACTCACTTTAGTATTTTAGTGAACATCATTTGAAGTAACACTTAATGTTGAATCAGGAGAGAAGAGAAATAAAGCAAAAGGAAAATGAAGGAGCTGGACCGAAAATTGATGGTCATAAAAAAGGATCAGCTAAACTTCTTTGGAAGGCCTTCCAATTTGCATTCAGAGTCTATACTTTTGCTGGTGGCCAAGATGATCGTGCTGACATGTTGACAAGGGAATTGGCTCAAGAAATCGAGACAGATCCTAATCCAGAGGCATAAAGTATAAGCTCATTTCTTCAAAACAAAAAAACCCCCCAAAAAAAAAGATCACTATAGGTGAAAATATAAAATGCATTGGTGCTCATATATAGACACTTTTGAGAGGTTTGAGCATTTAGCATAATGAAGCTTTCCCTGGCAGGTGTTCTGTAGATGCTTCTTGATCTGTGATTACATGCATATTCTAGGAGAAAGTTGCTAGACAATATATCCTTCTTTGTTTTAGAAGACGGAGAGAAGTGAGCTAAACTATAGCTTTGCTCTACCACCTGCAATACATACGATATCTATTACACCTTTGTGACTGGTTTTGTAGCATGTACATAACCCCGGATTTTCTTTACTTTCAGAATTAAAAGAGTATACATGTGAATGATTTCCTTGTTCATGCATTTTTTATGTTCTTTTATATAGTCACAGTTTGCCTTGTTCCTGCATTTTGTATGTTTTTTGTACAGTCACACAATTTTCCGGGAGTTTTGTGATTTTGAGTCTTAGTATTTCATTTCTTTTGGTCAAATAAAGTTAATTAACCATTGTTATCATACCATATGATCTACACCTGATCGCTAGGAAGAATAAGATAATGCAATAAGAAGACATATTAGTGAATGAATATGCATCACAATTTATTGGTCTCTATCAAGTTTACATTGTTCCATTGAAATCTTAAAACCTTACGTTGCTTACTTTTAACATCCATATACATGACTATAGAACATTATACAGTTGAACTAATTTTTGAATTATGTTCATGCTTAATTAGTGTCTACAACCATAGTAACATAGAAACAGTAGGTATAGAGTAACTACCCTGAATCTGCCTCTGTCCGTATATAGTACACAAGCAGATCAGTTGACTCTTTTGTTAACATCAATTATATGAGATTAAATAAGTTAGTATGTATGCAAATTAAGAAATCAGAATTCAAGAGGTAAATAAACGCAAAATGGTCCCTCATCGGCTGACACAAAGATAACTGAGGATCAGGAGGTGTATAAAAGCATGGCAAGGAGCAACAATGAAACATACTTACCTGGACGGGGTCAATGGGCGATCAACAAGACTCATGGCCTAAGTTGGTGACCTCCATTGCACTTTGGAGAGGTGCCCGCCTAAGGTCGACCCAAGTGGTCGAGCCTACGTAATAATTTGTGGCAGCGGGGGCCTGCCTTCGCGCGGCCCCTACCCAATGCTTCAATCAAAAAAGTTCTGCTCAAGCTATTGCTTAAATTATTTTGCTTCGCCCAGAGTCAAGCGATCATTTCGTAAATCAAATTCTTACTGCCACCTCCTTATTCCAGTTAACCCTACTTTAGTCCAGTCTACAAAATATGAAGGCTTAACCCAACGTGATTAGTTATCGTTCCTGTTAGAGCAAACTTCATTTATGACCAGCACCTAGAAACTAATATCAGCCGCTAGCCACAAAATTACAGTATACATTTTGTAGCCCAAAACTAATTAGAAGGCTAGCCACCGACCCAACTATCACCGAAACACAGTCCTTTCTTACATTTCAAACCCAATCTTTACACAGAGGCGAGGTCTTCTTTTTTTCTTTCCTTTCTCTAGTCAGTTTAAGCAGATCTGAAGGTTTCCAAATGAAATCAAACAGTTTCGGCGAATAATGGTGGCCAACAGTGGTGATTTTGATCTCTCTTACTCACTCGCTTTAGCCTCTATTTTTCTTGTGCTCTCTCTGTTTCTCCCCACCCCCAATCTTGTGCTCTTTAAATTTTGTGTGTGTGTTTCTTTTCAGTTGAGAACACAAAGAAGGTGAAGTCAGAAGGAGGGGAGGCGTCCTCGAAGAAGGGAAAATGGGATCTCTTTCTTTGTATGTGTCTGCTGGTTTTTCATTTGAGAGAAAGGGAGAGGGTCCAAAATCTTCGATGCGTTAGGTTCTAGCTCTTGTTTTCGTTCCTTTTTCTTTTCTAGTGTAGAAAATTGAGAGGTTTCTTTGTGCTGTTGTGGCCATAGCAGCAGTAATGGAGCTGAAGGTTTTTGATTTATTGCGTTTTGTGGGAGAAACAAAGATGGCGGAAACTAATGCATAGTCTAACTTTAGGTCTCAATTGTTTTTAATTTTTATCTCATGCATAGTCTTCACTGTACAAAATATATACAAATAGACTTTCATTATACAAAAAATATACTAAATAACTGTCACTATACAAAATATATACAAAATAAATTATCACTATAAAAAAATATATAAAATAAACTGTCATTGTATAATTTATATACAATAGACTGTCACTATACAAAAAATATACAAATTAGACTGTCACTATACAAAATATATATTAAATAGACTGTCACTATACAATTATATACAAATAGAGTGTCACTATACAAAATATACACAAAAATAGAATGTCATTATACAAAATATATACTAAATAGACTGTCATTATACAAAATATGTACAAAATAGACTATCACTATATAAAAATATACTAAATAGACTGCCACTATACAATTTATATACAATTAGCTCTCACTATACAAAATAGACTGTCACTATACAAAATAGACTGTTACTATACAAAAAATATACAAAATAGACTGTCACTATGCAAAAAATATACAAAAATAGACTGTTATTATACAAAAAATATACAAAATAGACATTTCGTATATGACATGCATTACATATTTCATTCAATTCTTAGCTAATACTTCAGATCCAGAAGTACAAAATACAATTTAAAAAGGCAAAAAAGGGCTGCTCTATCGCGCCAGGGAGGGTCAAACCTACGACCTTCAGCTTGGAGGCAGATGCTCTATCCACTGAGCTACAAGCGCTTGTGTTGTAATGCTCATTCCTTTCGGCTACTATATCCAATATGTTTGGGCCGAAGGGCCATTTTCTGTAAGTGGGCCAAAACATGAGCTATTAAAATTGGGATTTTTTCCTAACTATACCATATATGAAACCTTATTACCAAAAATGTGCATAATTTGTTAATTACCCGCCCAGTCCACACTTTAACTACAATTTATATACCAATCCATAATTAGGCAGATTCTGCCATTTAAAACGCGCGAAAAAAAAAGGCACAAAATCTGCGTTTGATTCTTTCCACATTAAATTCGAAATTTGAAACGGAAAGAGATCTGATTGCTGCGTAATTCTCTCTTTCACTACAATTCAAAAACAACGCAGAGCTTCAGAAGCTTCAACAACGCAATACAAATTGTAGAATTCAAAATTGTTCTTCATCGTCCTCAGTACTCAAATTGTCGAACCTATATCTGTTCTTCATCTTTTTTCTCTCAACTACACGAAATCATGTCAAAAATCCCAATAATGCTAAAATTGAATGGGAATTGGGATAACTATGGCAGATTTAGAGATTTTGAAGTTGATGCCATTGTGGTAGATGAGAATGCAGGTTTGTGTAGTTCGAAAATGCTTAGAATTTTAGTTTTATTATATTATCTACAAATTTACTACATATATCTACAATTTGACTACAAGTTCTTTATTTGGTGCAGGAAAAAAATATTTTAATATACAGTGTCTCCAGATTGTAGATAAATTGTAGGCAAATTGTAGTTTACTTGTAGTTTGTAGTTAATTTGTAGATAAAATGTAGATATATTAAAGATACTATATTTTTAATATTGTAAATTTTTTTTCTTTGTGTTTGTTCTGAAAATGTAGGTGAGGGCTTCAACAGATCATATACATACTGTGTTGGATGGTGTGAAGCGGTACATTGTGTGTCTAGAAAACAAGAAATGTAGTTGTGGCCAATTCCAACTTGAAGAACTTCCATGTGTAAATTGTTTCCAGATTGTAGTTATAATGTAGGTTAAATGTAGTTAATTTGTAGTTTTTGTAAAATTTTGTAGACAATTTGCAGATTAATTGTGGATAACACATTTCTACGATTGGAGTATTTATTTCTTATTTTTTGTTGTGTAATTTATATTCAACTGACAGTTATATACAAATATTACATAGAACTTGGAGGTAAACATCTAAAAATTATGATAAAAAGCTACAAAATTTATATACAATAACTACATTGAGTCTTCACACAATGTAGATAGTTTGAAGATTATTGGCGAGGGAGATTTACGTCAAGGATTAAGGCGAGAGAGATGCAAGCAGAAAATTGGCGAGGGGGAGGGAAGCTGGAGGCAAAGTCGGCGACGATCTGATCGAAGGGCCGATGATCCCCGGCTTTGAGCAACGTCAATACCGTGTTCGATTCTTCTTTTCCTAACATCCTCTTGTTTCTCTCTCACTGGGAGTGTTGATGTTTTTCATGATTTGGGAGAAAGATTACTTCAACTTGAATCAGATGGAACTTCAAATTGAGATTTGTGAAATTAAATGGAGAAAAAATTGTAGAATCGTGGGTCTGTAGAGGACAACTGATGGTAAACGTGAGGTAGTGAAGGTAAAACGTGGGGGTGTGGGGGGGTGGGAGGAGAGAGAGGCGGGTAAAGGTAAATGTGAGAATATACGCTCCTAAATTAACGCCTAATATAAATGAAGCATTAATTATACCCCTAATTTGAATTATGGTATATAAATGGTAATTTGGTATGCTGAAATGTAATTAACACAAACCTTAAACATTGAGGGTAATAAGGTTTCATATATGGTATAGGAAGGTAAAAATCCCATTAAAATTTTGAGAGGCTATAGAGGGTAGTTTTCTCTTCCTGTTAATTCAAAGACTCAAGGCCCACGGCTCATGTATTCATTTGTCGAGGGAAGTGGACAAATAACCGTTTTAGGACCCTTATCTAAATGTAAAAATAGTACGGTCTAGCCAGTTTTCAGACTGGTCATTCAAAAATAGCTAGCGGTTGCTAAGTCAATAAAAAGTAGCCACTATTTTGCTGTAACAGTGACCGGTCCAGCATAATATACTGAAGTTCGGTGCACCTGTGTATGAACTTCGACCATATTATGCTGGAACTCCAACACACGAAAAGCTCCAGCATAATATACTGGAGATTCGAGCACTTGTGTATGAACTTCCAGCATATTATACTAGACTGGTATACTTTGTTGGAACTCCAGTATATTATGCTGGAGTTCTAGTGTACTTATGCTGGAACTCCATCATATTATGCTGGAGTTCCAGCATCTTTACATGAAAAGTGGCTAAATTTCAATTACTTTTGAAACTGGGCTATTTTTGAACGACCACTTGTAAATCTGATTATTTTTTAATTTCTCCCTATCTAAATACTAGTCAAATTTATATAAAATGTTAAAGTTTGTCAAAGAATCAATTTTAGACATGTGGGTCTAAAATTGAAATCGTGGATCTGAAGTTTCCAAATTAAGACCTCCGGGTCTAGATGGACTCTGCCCAAATCTAACTTCGAAGTCTGACTGAAATTCAAATTTAGACATGAGGCTTGAAGTTAGGTTTTTCTAGAGCTCAGCTTCAGATCTGA